TGTCACAGCGGGGGGATGAAAAGGTAAATGTCACCTACTAACGTCCCTAAATCTATGGAAGATAACACCGACTTTTACTCAGTGCCTACTGTGTGCTTTGACGTGTTGCCTTATCTAACCTGTCTGTGTGATTATCAGCTTTTTATGCTGAGAAGGGGATGCCACAGAGAGGTTCGCATTAACTGTTCGAGGTTATTCAGCTAATAAAAGGGCAGATCTGTGAACCAGACACAGGTTTCCTGCCTTGAAAGAATCCCATGTTCTTTCTACAACACTGAGATGCCATCATGTAAAAACTATTTGAGCCTGAGGTTTAAAAAGACCCCATTCCCTGAAAGAAAACCCCTCACTACGTGACAGTTACTTGTACATCGTTTTCAAAACTGCACGGGGAACCTTTGAAGGGACTAGGTTAACGACTGAAGTTTCATAAAGAACGCCCATCATGTTTATGATATCTATAAACAGAGATTTCTCACCTGCCAGTGGAAACGGGCTGCACAGGAATAAGTCAGAGGACACAATACGTACCAACTCTGGAAGGGCGAATTTAAGACTCACAGAGAATGAGTTACGGAATCCAAAAAAAAAAAAAGACAAAACTCAATGATTAGTTAAGGGCTCCAGGTGGCTTCTGGACACGTTACAGAAGCCGAACAAGAAATAAGGAAACTGCTTCCACAATCAGTATTTACCCAGAGTTATTACCTGAAGCATCCTGTGTAACATGCTGGAAACTCACATCTATCTACTGTACTCCAATTATGATAACACAGAAACCTACAGGGTTTGAAGATACTAGTGTATCTGGTATTCTCAGAGCAACTAAATGTATCTTCCAAAAGCTAGAAGAGAAGACGTAAGGCAGCAGACTAGCACTAAAGAAGATAATATAGCTAGGTAGAATATTATTAACTCAAATAATCATTATCAGCAAGGCCACCTGAATCTTTTAGAAATTCTATTATAAAAAGCCAAACAGGCTGTGTGGGACAAATGGAGACTCTCTCTCCTTCTCTCTCTAGTGTGACTATTGGATTAAACTCCTAGAGGACCAAAATTATTTTTATATCTGCACGAAACTAAGTGGTAATAATACCAGGTATGAGGTGGTAATATTTTACTATCCAAAGGAAAAGAAGAGAGTGCATTATGGAGCACTTAATAAAAACAAGGCTTGTTTGGCAGAGGCGAACATGAACCAAGATCTCGGGCATCACTGAGCTGCACACTGTGGGCAGCATAAGCCTTTGGTGCAACACACAGGGTCACAGCTGGCTGCATCAGTTCTTCCTCAGACCCTGCGTAGCCCATACAACACTCATTTTAAAGCCTAAGATGTTTGTGGTCAAACCATAGAAAGACATTCCCTGCAGGGATCCTCTGGATCTAATTTGAATCTACCTGACACTTTTTAGTGAAGTAGAGAGAAGTTTAACAGTAGGTTTCTTTCTTTTTTTTTTGTGGAGGGGTGGGGTAGACAATTAGGTTCAAAGTAACATCTGCCTATTGCCCACATTCAGAAATTATTGTTCTTATTTTTTTTGTAGCCTGGACCCACTGTGGTCAGGCCCTGCTGTGGGTGATAAGGGGTCTGGGCTGGCTGGGTGCCTTAATCAAACCAAAAAACCAAACCGGTTGCCTTTGAGTCAATTTCAGCTCATGGTGACTCCACGTGTTTCACAGCAGAACCGTGTACATAGCGTTTTCTTGGCTGAAAGCAGATCACTTTCTTCTGAGGCGCTTCTGGGTAGGTTCAAACTGCCAACCTTTTGGTCTAGTAGCCCAGCGCAAACCATCTGTGTCACCCAGGTACTTTACAGAAGTCCAAATCAGAGCTCTCAGAGGTCCAGCCCAGCCTAATCTTAACCCCACAGACACTCCTGCTGGCCAAGTCCACTTACTCTTCTAGAAAAAATATAAACCTGTGCTTTACATGAGAGTCCTTAGCACTACTGAACACTTTATTTTTGAACTTTTTTTTATTGTTGTAGTTTAAATTTCAAGTTAATCTCCCATACAAAAATTTATACATACATTGTTATGTGACCCTAATTGCTCTCCCCATACTGTGACAGCACACTCCTCCTTTCCACCCCTGATTCCCATGTCCATTCAACCAGCTCCTAACCCTCTCTGCCTTCCCATCTCACCTCTGGACAGAAGCTGCCCATTTAGTCTCTTGTATCTACTTGAGCTAAGAGACACACTCCTCAAGAGTATCACTTTATGTCCCACAGTCCAGTCCAATCCCTGTCTGAAGAGTTGGTCTCGGAAATTGTTTTAGTTCTGGGCTGATAGAGAATCGGGGGGCCAGGCTTTCCAGGGTTCCTCCAGTCTCAGACCATTAAGTCTGGTCTTCTTACTAGAATTTGAGTTCTGCACCCCACCTTTATCCTGCTCCATCAGGGACTCTCTGTTGTGTTCCCTGTCAGGGCGGTCATTGGTGGTACCCGGGCACCACCTAGTTCTTCTGGTCTCAGGCTGATGAAGTCTCTGGTTTATGTGGCCCTTTCTGTCTCTTGGGCTAATACTTTCCTTGTGTCTTTGGTGTTCTTCATTCTCCTTTGCTCTACGTGGTTGGGACCAACTGATGCATCTTAGATGGCTGCTTGCAAGCTTTTAAGACCTCAGACGTCACTCACCAAAACACTACTGAACACTTTTAAGGCGCAGTTAATCATTCTTTATTTACCTCAAAACCAAATCCACATGCTTCTTGACACTGGTCACGGCATGTTTAACGATTTTTTTTTCTAAATTTTACTTTTTTTGTTGTTGTTACTGAGACTATACACAGCAAAGCATACACCAATTCAACATTTTCTATGTGTACAATTCAGTGACACTGATTACATTCTTTAAGTTGTGCAACCATTCTCACCTTCCTTTTCTGAGTTGTTCCTCCCCCATTGGCATAAACTCACTGCCCCCTAAGGTTCCTATCTTTCAAGTTACTGTTGTCAATTTGATCCCATATAGATAGATCCTAAAAGGGCATAATGCTCAAGGTAGACCCTTTTTCACTAGTTAAGCTAAGCAATTGTTTGGTTTTAAGATGACTTAAGGATTATCTCAGGGAGCTCATTTAGCAATCTGATTACAGGAAACAGAATGAACTCACCAAGACTGAGATGATAGACAAATCCCTCCATCATCTGAAACCCAAACCCGCCCTATTTCCAAAGCCTTTCATGGCTGTTTTCAACACAGCCTGAAAACCCAGGATGTTTGTGGTCAAACCAGGGCCACAGACTGTGATAGTGGAACTGTAAAAATGGCCTTAAAAAGTTATGCCTTCTGCATGGTCACTATGAATTAGAAGGGATCTTGGGTCAGGAGATGGGTGGCGCTTTGGTTTCCTGAGAAGCCAGCTCCCAGTGGGCATCAAGGGCATTTCCCAGGTAGTGCCTGTTGGGCAATCCCTTGGGTGGGTCTCATACTGTCACTTTCTGATGTTTATCAGCCCTACAAAAATAAACGACATGCCATCCCACACTCCCACTTAATATTTCTGCCTGGCTCTGCCTACTTCCCAGAAGTAAATAATAATAAAAACAAGTACGAGAATTAGCCTTCTGGGCAGAACTCATCCTCGGCACACACTGGAAATTCCTGGGCCAACGTCATTTGTCACAGCTCGCTCCTCACACACTCCAGTTTATAGATAAGCCGCTCTGAACTCATCTCATATCTTTCATCTCAAAATTCATATCATTCCCTTCTGGGCCACGGTGAAGCAAGGCAGGTGTCCAGGGTACAAAATTTAAGGAGGCACTTTCAGTGGTTGACCTTGTACTTACTTACAGGATCCTGAGAGTGAGTGCCTCCTTAAGGGTGAGGCATCTGAGAGTCAGTACTCCTTGAACTTTGCACCCTGGCTACCTCACCTCATCCTGGTCCTGGCCCTGACTTCCCTTCTCTAGGCTCTTGGCATACTAGTAAATGTTTGAGGAACAATGTTCAACCTAATTCTCATCAACCTACCTGGGGTTCAGTATGGTCCAGACCACAAGCGATGGGTCTTAAGCTTGTTCTGCTCCTGACAAGCTGTGTGACATTAGGCTAGTTCCACAACCTCTCTGAACCTCTAGTTTCTCACCAGATTATTTCATTACTTTTTTTTTTTTTTTTTGATGGCATGCGTTTTCAGTATTAGAATGCATGCTTTCTAATTGAGTGTGTTTAAATTTCTGGCTGGTAATATGGATTTTGAGAAATATGATCTGGTAATACAAGCCACCAATGAGGCAAGTGGCACTGTGGTGCCACCAATCTGTGGTATGACAATATACCAATGAGAGCGATATAGATAATTTATTGCAGGCGCCTTTCCATTAGGTTACGCGGGGAACCTCTGGTTTTCCAAATATGGCACAGAAAACCCAAAACAAACCCATCAGGGCTCCCTAACTATCACACTGGAAAGCCATAATCATGCTTGCAAACCTTATCTCACAGAAATAAAGGAAAAAAAGGCAAAAGTGTACAAAACAAACACATCCAGGAAGCATTGCCTAATTGAATGCTCAACCTACACAACAATGAGGCTCCAACTCAGGTCTGCTGAGCTTCACACATTTCAAAAGGGAGCCACCTTGATGCTAAATGCATTGGAACCAGAATAACACCTTACCCCTGAGGTCCAGAGGCATAAAAAGTGGCTGGTATACCGGTAATCCAATAGCAATGAAAGAGTTAAAAACAAGTTAGCACCCGGAACCAGGACCAGGCAGCGTTTCTCTCCGTTGCACATGGGAATACCATGAGTTGGGGCTGACTCGAGGGCAGTTCACAATAACAGCAACAGCACCCTGAACAGGAAATCACCAATGGGCTTGTCACACTGCTTAGCAACCCACTTCCTGAAACTCTTCAGGGTCCAAGTTTCCCAGAAGCTGCAGATGAGACACAGGAAGGAACCTCACCCCAAGCAGACTAGCCAGGAAGGCAGGAAAGTGCTGGAGGAGGAGGGGAAAGGAAAGCGAGGCTTCACTTACTGCTTTCTTTTTGTGGGTGCTGGACCAAGACTCGGAACTGCAGCCGGAGGATGCCCGGATTTTGGACATCTTGGTCACAGCCCTGCAGGGAGAGGTTGAAGTTCCCAGCCATGTTCCCGGGCTGCTGGTCCTTCAGCTTAAACACCTCAGGATTGCTGGTGGAGCCTGGGATGTAGTATTCAACCCGCTCCTCCTTCTTCACACAGTTGGAGACATTGACGGTGAGGAAGGAGACACTGGCCCGCAGGTGTGCAGGGATGACAAACTGCCACGTCATGAGCTCATCCTCGGGGAAGCCTTCTGGGTAGTTGGCAGACATCAGGGTTGCCGAACCTTCACCCTCAAACACAGACTCAATGACGCATAGTCCTAATGGGCATGGAACCAAACCAGAAAGAACAGTTGGTGGTCAGATCCTGTCCTGGTTGTTCATGGCTCAGGGGTGGGGGTGTCAGAGAAAAGATCATGGTGATTCTCAGATCCTGAGCAAGTCTTAGGTCTTTTTCCACAGAAGAGTGGAATCTTTCTTTAAGATATTTAAGTTAAATCATGACATGGTTTGTTTACACCCAAAGCAGAGGTTGGTAATGAGAATATACCAGTGGTGTACAAGTAGGTGTTTAATAACCAACTCACCGGAATAAAAGAAAGCCCTGCTCTGTAGCTTATGTCAACTTCCAATACTCTGATTCCAAGCTAACAACACGACGTGACTGAATGTGGAGTTGGGAAGAACTGTGCAATAACACCCCATTGTCGAGTATCTCCACCTCACAGATACAACAGACATAAATAACCTCAAGAAGCATTCTGCTGGAAGACGGGGGTGGGGGGTGGGGAGCAGGGAAACTAGAGTACTGGAAATGGAACAACCAGAATGCAATTAAAGAGAACGTTGACACATTGTGAAAAATGTAACTTAGGTCACTGAACAATTTGTGCAGAAACTGTCAAATGGGAACCTAATTTGCTGTGTAAACTTTCATCGAAAACACAATAAAATACCATTAAAAAAAAAAAAAGCATGTTGTTGCTGTTGTCTTCAAGTTGATTTTGGACTCATAGCGACCCAGTATGACAGAGTAGAACTGCCCTATTGGGTGGGTTTCCTAGGCTCTAATCTTTACGGGAGCAGATCGCCAGGTCTTGTCTTCCGTGGAGCCACTGGGTGGGTCTGAACTGCAAACTTTTCATTTTGCAGCTGAGTGCTTAACCGTTGCACCACCCAGGCTCCTTTCAAGAAGCGTACGTAATAGTAAAATAATTAGGATGTGATGAATTCTGAGTACTTATTCCCTCTGTTTAATATAATTTATTTAATTGTAAGGTTATATAATTTTATTTTTAATAATGGCTCTGGTTAACACCAACTCATAAAATTCCTGAACATCTAACAATCAGCTTTCGTGACCGGCATGAGGGAATCTGAAAGGTGTCAGTGGACTCTGGCGTACCACTGATGCAGACACAGAAAATGTGAAAGAGACAGAGAACAGGAGAAAGAAGTTAGAAATGGTGCCGTCAAGGTAGGTCTGCAGAACCAGTTTCATTTCATTCTTTGCAAATAAACCTCATTTGTTCATAGGACAAAGAAGAGTGGCCACCCCATTTAACAGAGAAGGGGGTTCACACTAGGAATGAGTAAGCCACATCTCTTACAGAAGAGGAGAATCTTCCTCTAAGGGATTTAGGTGGAATCATACAAAACTGCCGGCCCATGACTATTTTTGACCTAGAACAATGGTAATTTTGTGTGGTTCAACCTAATCAAACAGCAGGGAGGGAAGTGGTATGCTCACGTTTTATGGATGTCCGGTTTGCAATGCTGAAGCCGGAGACATTTCTCCTGTCGAACCATGGTAGCTGTAAGGTCATTTTCACTCCCTCCTGCATCTTGATCCGGGACACAGTGCCATTGCTGCAGAAGGTTCCAATCCTGACAGAGGTGGTATCGATGCGGCCGTTGACGGAGTAAGTGACTCCGTCTGGGCAGCTCTCGCCTGGCCCGATCTGCCTCAGATGGGGAACAGAGAACTGCAGCTCTAGACCGACGCTCTTAGGAGCCTTGACGTCCCAGACGAAAGTTCTGTTGAGGGCGGGCAATGAGGATGTTGAGGGCTGGAGCTGAACCTCCCCAAAAGGACACGGGCCTGACATGCAGTCTGAAACACAGTCACAAAAGCAGTTGTGATCACACTGAAAGGTCACCTACCCCATGCTCCTCAGTAGTAGATACTTTGCCTGCTGCTGCCCCATCCCCCAGCTGCTGTGAGTGTTGGTGGCCAATGGCTGACAGATACATCTTTCTCTGGGGAAGTGCCTCAGTTCAGGGGAACTGTCCTGGCCCAGAAACCGTAGAAGTTTTGCCACTCACTCACCTTCACCCCAAGGGAGAGCCTATAGCCAGTAACTACCTGATAGAGGAGTGAAGTAGAAGGTGAGCGAAAAAGAGGAAGGCCCTCAATGAGATGGACTGACACAGTGGCTGCAACAATGGGCTCAAGTATAATAACAATTGTGAGGATGGTGCAGGACCAGGCAGTATTTCGTTCTGTTGTACATAGGGCCGCTATGAGTTGGAACTGACTTGATGGCACGTAAAAACAACAACACCACAATAAATACTATAGCATACACAATTCTGCAACAATAGTATAACAACCAAAAATTTGTGAGTGGTTACTTGGTAGATATGTATGCCATATAGGGGTGGGAAGGCGTATGGGAGTAAACGCATGTATATACATATAGGTATAGTTGTGGGCATTTGTATATACATATTTGTATGCGCTACATATATATTCATATATATAATAGAGCACATACGGGGCACAGTTATGGAAATTTCTTAGATATATTCAAACACCTTGTGGGACTAAAGTGACTATGCTTGAAGTATAAGGACCATAGCACCTAACAACACAGGAGTGAAAAAGTCTGGCTGTTTGCTTCAAGTGACACAACCTTTCGATGCCATTCACACCCAGAGCTCCCTGTGGGATCAGGCTGAGGTAGACTTCAGCTAATATCACATCTCTGTTTTGCTTTTTTGCTGTCTCCTGCTTCCCTCACTTCTTCAGGCGTTTCTTCTGAGGGCACTCTCTGGATAAATGACTTACATGAGAACCCTTGTCTCCGGCTCTGAGGGAACCCGACCTCAGACACCTCCTAACTACTGTGTTTTCCATATTAAATTGCTGGAGCCCAACTGGTGGGCTTCTGACCAGGCTTTTCTGGAAGCCAGAAGGAGACCATTTTCAATGGAGAGCCCATGCTTTGGAATATCCTACTTCCCCTACTCTGAAAGAATCATGGTTTTCACAATCTTTAGCACATAGTGCCAAAATCCACCTTCTAAAACTGGTTTTCCCACAATACACTCATCAACACAGTGAGTCTTCTCTGAATATACAATCCCCTTGATGGCTGGAACCCCGTGGCACAGTTATCTTCCTGCCTCGGGGTTTTAATGCTAGTATTTTATTATCACCGCATTTGATTTTCTCTTTTCAAGGCTAACAATTAATAATATCTTTGATGCACTTTGTTTCCCGAGCCTTTCAAAACAAAGAGAGAAATGTCACTGTCAGGGAGGAAATAAGAGGAAAGTGTATGGAAGAAGTAACAGAAAGCAGGCAATATAAAATTAAAGGCTTTTGTTGTCTGAGACAGGGAACCTGAAAGTGTTGATGGACTTTGGTCACGGTAATAATAATCTGGTGAATCTTTATTACTGCTCTGTTGGGGTGTTTGAAAGTACTCCAACCTGAAAAGGTCTCATGGAAGAATTTCAAAGACGTCTAGGACCTCTGAGCTTGTTCATGCCGAACTTCTTTTTTTTTGGTTTGAAATTCAAAAACATTTATTTGAGTTGTAAAACAAGATATTTATCTTTACGTTCTAATTAAGCACCACAACTATTACCGAATATGAATAAGGAAGACCAAAGAAGAATTGATGCCTGTAAATTATGGTGTTGGTGAAGAATACTGAATATACCATGGACTGTCAATAGAACAAACAAATCTGTCTCGGAAGAAGTACAGCCAGAATGCTCCTTAGAAGCGAGGATGGTGAGACTTCACCTTACGGACTTTGGACATGTTATCAGGAGGAGAAGGACATCATGCTTGGTAAAGAAGAGGGTCAGCAAAAAAGAGGAAAACCCTCAACAAGATGGATTGACACAGTGGCTGCAACAACGGGCTCAAATATAGCAACAATCGTCAGGATGGTGCAGGACTGGGCAGTGTTTCATTCTGTTGTACACAGGGTCACTACAAGTCAGAACTGACTTGATGGCCCCTAATAACAACAACATTATTGGATATTAAAATTTTAACATAACGTCACTAAAAAAAATTCTATATGTAGAAATAATGGATTAAAAAATTATTATTATTTTTTATTGTGGTAGATATATAGATAACAAAGCATTTGGCATTTCAACAATCCAAATTTTTCATTTTTGCAAAGCAGCCCTGGAATCCGGGTGACTAGGGCCAGCACTTGCAGCATATGGCAACCCTGGGACAAAAGCCCAGCTGTGTTTGGTCAACCTATATTCCCGCCAATGCACTGCACTGCACTGCCTAACCAATAACACAGGGTTAGATAACATGGTGACTAATATGGCTAAAATCAGACTTTGTGTATCATGAAATATAGTACCTATGTTTAGGAACTCATGGGAACTTGGTTAGTTCTATCAAGCCACCTCTCTCCTTTTGAAGCTGGCCTCGAGGAGCTTTCTACCCACACCTCCAATGTGCCCAGGGCACCAGTGATTGGCCCCTGCGGCGATCTGAGTGGGATCTCTTGACCTTATGAAGGCAGTGGTTCTCAGTCTTGGCTCCATACTGGAATCACCTGGAGGACTTTTAAAAAATAAGCATGCCTGCACAGATCCCCTAGAGATTCTGATTTAATTCCACACCAAGGAAACGGGGTCAGAAAGCCCCGCCTCCCAGCTCCACCTCTGCCCAAAGCCCTGGCTGCTGGGAGATCAGGTTGTACAAGCAAGTTTTAATTTGTTGCTAAGAGCCTTGGTTGGTGGGATGGCCATACAGATAAGCGTAGTCAAAATGTCGGCATGCCTCCAAGTCTTCTCCCGTGCACCCTGTCCAGTATGAAAATTCTAAACAACTAAAACGGTTCCAATACAGGAATGGAGAAGGGTCATCTCTGACGTGATTTCTCCCAGCACAGACTTCTATTTCATGAACTTTAATGGAACTAACTATTCAAAAAGAGATGAGAACAGAGATGTCAAGCTTTGTCTCCAACTTTCAGAATGCTTATTCAGGAAAGGTTTTAAAAACAAAGGGTAAGCAGAACACTGACTTGTTATTTTAAAAATTAATACTTTCAAATCAGTTTCAAAAAGTGTAGGAATGGGTTTTTATATGAAATAAGCTGTGTGTAGCATCCTAGGATTGAGAGGCTGATGAATTCAAACGCTTGACTTAGGAAGTCTGTCATCTGTTTCCTTTTCTCTTTTTTAATGTGGAAATCGCTTATTGGTTTAACCAAACAAAAAAAGTAATGTATGCCTGTAAAAAAACAAGACAGTGAAGAACAGAAAGAAGAAAATGAATGTCACCTGGTCCCCACTACCACCCCCATCCCGTTATAGAAAATTTTAAGGCTAACATTTTGGTGTTTCTCCTCTAGTCTTTGGATTATATATGATTAAGTGTGCACGTCTGTGTATGTACGTGCGCATGCACATGTATGTATTTAATAAACTGGGATTGAACTATACAAATTACTCACTTATTATATGCTACAGAGCCCTGGTGGTGCAATGGTTAAGCACTTGGCTGCTAACCAAAAGGTTGGCAGTTTGAACCCACCCAGAGGCTCCATAGGAGAAAGACCTGGTAATCTGCTTCCGTAAAGATTACAGCCTAGATAACCCTCTGGAGTAGTTCTACTCTGTCACATGGGGTTGCTGTGAGTTGAAATCAACTCAACGGCACCCAACAACAATTATAAGCTGCACTGTTTTTAATGAAACAAAAATAGCTTTGGCATCTTTCCATGTTGTTATGGATTGAATTGTAACCCTCAACAATATGTGTTGTAAATTTTAACCCCTATATCTGTGTTTATAATTTGGGAAAGGGATTTCTTTGTTATGTTAAGAGGCCATATCAGTGTAGTGTGTGTTTTAAGCCAATCATCTTTGAGATCTAAAAAGAGCAGACTAGGCACAGAGAAGCAGAGAGATGGGGGAAGACAGATGTCTCACCACATGAAGATCACAGGGAACCAGGGAACAAGGACTTTCCCCCAGCACCAACAGAGAAAGCCATACCCTAGAGCCAGTGCCCTGAATTCAGACTTCTAGCCTCCTAAACCGTGAGAAAATAAATTTCTGTTTGTTAAAGCCACCCACTTGTGGTATTTCTGTTATAGCCGCACTAGATAACTAAGACAGAATTTGGTACTGAGAGTGGAGTGCTGCTCTAACAAATACCTACAATGCTGAAATGGTTTTGGAATAGGGTAATGGGTGGAGGCTGGAAAAGTTTTAAGGTGCCTAATAGTAAAAGCCTAGACTGCCTTGAAGAGACTAGTGGTAGGATTATGGATGTCAAAGGCAATTCCGGTGACGGCTCAGAAGGAAGCGAGGAGAGCTATAGAGAAAGTCTCCATTGTCTTAGAGAATACAGATGGAGCCGTCAACAGAATGTTTAAAAATGAAGGGCATTAAAATGTGCTTCTCGTGAGGCTTAAAAAAAAAAGATGAACATGTGATTGGACAACGGAGGAAGGATGATGCTTTTTATGCAGTGGCTAAGAACTTGTCTGAATTATGTTCAAATGTTTAGTTGAAGGTAGCACTTCTAAGTGAGGAACTTAGATATCTGGCTGATGAGATTTCTAAGCAAGATCTTAAAGAGGCTGCATGGTTTCTCTTGCTGCTTATAGTAAAATACGAGAATAAAGAGATGGACTTAATGAACTGTGCAAAATGAAAACAAAACTTAAAGACTTGCAAGATTATGTTGTACAAACTAAGGACACATGTACTAGAATGTTCACCAATGACATAGCTACACAATCTTTTGGTAAAGAGATTAAGCCTGTAACTGATGGATCTAACCAACTACCACAGCAGAAAACCCATCAGCTTAGACTGAAGGGTAAACAGAAAGAACTAAAGGAAAGAACAGTGTCTGCCTCTTGGAATTCTACAGGCAGGAAACAGACCAAAGGAGCTACATCTCTTGTCCTCCAAGAAAAGAAAAAGACCATCCCTGGAGTGGCTCAGAGATCAGTAGAACTGTTGGAAGGAGCACAGGAAGCAGGGCCTTCTGGGTTTCAAAGGGTGGGGTCAAGGTCTCCTGGATCTCAAAGGGTGGGGTCATGGTCTCCTGGATCTCAAACGGTGGGGCCACAGCCTCCTAGGTTTCAAACAGCAGTATCTTCGCCAGTATGGTGCTGACATTAACGTATGCCAGGGAGGTGGGGCAAGATCCACTGCCCAAAGCTGAGGAGGCGGGGTTGCCATGCCTAAGGGGCAGAAGAACAGGGGCCTACTGCGGCCAAGGGGTGAGGTTGCCACAGGGATGGACTAGGAGAATGGGGCTTCCTAAAACTGAGGGAGCAGAGTTGACATGCCAGAGCTGAAGCCTAGGGCCAAGGGGCCTCCACCAGAATCCAGAGGATGTGGCCAACACGCAGAGTCTGGAGGGTGGGGCCATTGCCCAGATAGTCTCAGAGAAGAGAGGATTATTTTCAAGCCTTGACAGCTAATATAATTTTTTCAGCTGGGTTTTGGACTTGCTTGGTGTCTGTTATCTCTTCTTTCCCTCCAATTTCTCCCATTTGTAACGGAAATGTCTACTTTGTGCCTGTCTTTGGAGGCCAAGGCGTGGAATGTTATGGATTGAATTATGTCCCCCCAAAATACGTGTTGTAAAAGCTTCACTAGGATTTTAATTGTAATTGAATTAAATTGATAATAATAATTTGGGGGAGAACTGACACTTTAAAAACACTAAGTTTTTTCTTCAAGGAATATAGCGTATCTTTCCATTTATTTAAGTCTTTTTTTTTGGTCTTTCAGTAAAATTTTATATTTTGCTTCATACATATTTTATGCATTTAGTAAGATTAACCCTAAATATTTGTTCTTTGTTATTGTTAGTCACAAAGGATCTTTTTGCATTATATTTTCTACTTGGTTATTACTGACATTATAGAAAAGCTATTAATTTGGGGATTTTTCTACCAAGTATTGGGGCAGCTTATGAATTCTTTTATTAATTCTAATAACTTTCTTTTGATTCTCTTTATGTTGTAGGCAGATAATCACATCAATCTTTGAATAAAGATAATATTGGCTCTTCCTCTAATAATTTTGCCTATTTTTTCCTTCTTGTCTTGCTTATTGTCTTCGTTAGAACAATGTGCATAGTGGGAATCCTTACACTGTTTTCTGTTTTTTTAGTAATGCTTCTATGTTTAACAGTTACATATAGCATCTATTATCAGTTTCTGGTAAATATACTTTATTGTATTAAGAAAACGTCCCTCTATTCCTGGTTAACTAAGAGTGTCTTATTAAAAAGTTAAAAAATCATCTACTAAGATGATTGTATATAGTTCTTTTCTCTCTAGCCTAATTATGCAAAGCATTCCATTTACCAATTTGTTAATGCTGAACCATTTTAGATTTGATATATTTTATTTAGGAATTTTTGCATGTATATTCATAAATGATTGGTCTATGGTTTTAATGTTTTTTATGCTTTGTCAGATACGGACATCAGGATTGTAATAACCTTGCAAAAGGGACTGGGAAATTTCTCTCTGTCTATGATCTGGAACAGAGGTCAGCAAACTACAGGCCATGGGCCAAATCCAGCCCATTGCCTGTTATTGTAAATAAAATTTTAATGGAACATTCATTGTCTGTTCATTTATGTATTGTCTATGGCTGATTTCACTAATTCCTCCTATTTTCTTTTTACCCTTTTTCTTGCTTCCTGATTTTATCACTTGATTCATTTATTTTCAGTTAAAACATTTAAAAGAAATTTTCTCTGAGTATGGCTACAATTGGGTCACAAATAGTGTTACCATTGCTGTTACTATATCTGTTAGTTCCTATTTGGAATGATCACGTTAACTTGACTGGGAAATTAAAAATTTAATTTTTTCTGTCTGATTACTATTTCCGATGTCCACCTCCCATCCCAAGCTCAAATTATGAATAATAGCAACAATACGAAATAGCTATAGTTTGTTGAATTCTTATATCATACACTTTCAATCCATTATTTTAATTCATCTTCATACCAACCCTATAGGTCGGTGCGATGACCCTTATTTTACAGACTAGTAAACAAAGGCACAAAGTAGTTAAGGAACTCACACGAAATCACGTGATCCGGTCATGTGACCAGTAGCCCTGCAGCTTGAAGCCATATCCAGGCCCATCAGACTCCAAAGCTGCTGCTTTTTCCATTGTGCCTTCTGGACTCACTTCCCCACTCTTCCCTCTTCAACCTTCTGATTCTTTTGTCCTCTTAAATCCCTTGACTTTTGCTCCACATCTGCCAGGTGTTTCTAGCATATCAAGATAGTGCACCACCTGTTGCCATTGAGTGGATTCTGACTCACAGTGACTCTATAGGACAGAGCAGAACTGCCCCCCTGGGTTTCCAAGGCTGTAAATCTTTACGCAAGCAGACGGACACAGCTTCTTCCCGAAGACTGGCTGGTGGGTTCGAACAGCGACATTTTGATTAGCTGCCGAGTGCTTAACCACTACGCTACCAGGGCTCCTTCAGAGCACCACAGACCTTGGAAATCTGTAGCTCACAGGCCTCTAGCGCTCCACCAAGAGACAGTGTGGCCTGGTGGTTAAGGGCACAGAATGGAGCCAGTGTACCTGGGTTCCTGTCCTGTCTGCTACTTACCAGCTATGTCACCAGGGCAAGTTACTCTCTTTGTGAACTTTCCATTAACCTATGTCAAGCACTTAGAACCATGCCTGGCCACATAAGAGCTAAATAAAAAGTGTACAGAGTTCCAGAATAGATCTTACAAGCATCAGAGACTGGCTTAGCACAGAAATGAGAGGCATAGACACTTATAAGACGCTGTCACACAGTTTACGAGGACATACTCACCAACATTCTTTTGGATTTCTATGACAAAGTGCCTCTCTGGATTCTGGCAGCTAAAGTGAAAGACTGTCTTTTCTCCAGACTTGATGGACAACGTGGACAGTTCTTTTTTCGAAATGACGAGGTAACAGGGCTTCACTGGCACAGTTGGGGTCCCAGGCTTTATGGAAACTATAATGCCGCTTCCAGGTGGCAGAGCAATAGCAAAAGCTTCTGCAGAAAGGAAGAGAAATGAAGTGAGCAGGCTGATTCAGGTCTGCAAACCCACGGTGGTTCTCTCCTCCGCTGGCCCAGGAAGGACGCCCCTCGATGACACCTCCATTCCTTCTTGCCTGGTTGAGAAGGGGGATGGTGCAAAAAGATAACTAAATCACATCTCACCTCACCGACAGGAAAGAACGGGGTCACTGCTGCCGTGACATTAAGATGAGTTTCTCTTTTGGCTTACTCACTTTTCTAAAAATTAAAACCTCGATACCACATCTTGAGCAGTCCATTTTGAGATACCCCGTTTATAAGGTATTAAATAATGACCAGAGAAACTGTTCCACCTCTCATCCGAGTGTAGAAGAAATTCCACAGACAGAAACCATTCGTCTATAGGGACACGTTTATCCGCAAACAGCCGCTGTCTTCTGCCTAGGACGCTTTAGATGCCCACTACATACATGTGGTGGGGGCTAGAAAAATGTCTGCAAACATCAGATCTAAACACAGTGTGTCGATGAAGTTGGAAAGAAAGGCTTGTGTAAAACAAGGCTGATACCTGAGACCGGGGTTCAGCAAAAACACGGGAACAAACAAACAATGACAAGTAAGTGAGACGGGGGTGGGTTACTAACAGAGGTGCCCAGGGTCCCTGGGTGGCACAAGTGGTTTGTTTGTGCTACGCTACTAGCTGAAAGGTTGCGGGTTCAAATCCACCCAGCAGTGCTGTGGAAGAAAGTTCTGGCAACCTACTTCCATAAGATTAACTAAATCCAAACCCGTTGCCATTGAGTCAATTCCCACTCATGGCGACCCCATGTGCTTCAGAGTAGAGCTGCACTCCACAGGGTCTTCAACGGCTGTGATCTTTCGCGTTATGGAAACAGATGTCTAGGTGAGGCCCTGAGTCATGGAACAAGCCCAATCTCTTCCTACTCCCTTTGCTTTGTGTTACTGATTTTTAAGTCCTCTCAGACCTAAAATGAGAGAGCCATTTTTCTCCTTAGTAGCCAAAGTAGTCACTGCCCATGCCCTAACCTGGGTCCTCACTACCAGTCTCTGGGCAGCTGATAACCTGGGAGCAGGGAATGCTGAGATGACTGTCTGTAGGTGGGTCCACGGCCCACAGAAACTTGCAGAGCTGAAGCTGGTACCTCTGCCGCACCGTGTTCTGGCACAAACAGATGGTCAGTACTTGTTATGGCACCTGCACATAACAAACTCATTGCTGTTGAGTCGATTTCCACTCATAATGACCCTACAGGACAGAGCAGAACTGTCCCATAGGGTTTCCAAGGCTGTAATCTTTACTGAAGCAGACTGCCACATCTTTCTCCCTTGGAGCAGCTGGTGGGTTCGAACTGCCAACCTTTCAGTCGGCAGCCGAGCGCTTACCCACTGCACCACCAGGGCTCCTCATCTGCACATAGAAGATACTTAATAAACGCTTGGCGAATAAATGAATGGACGACAATCTAACCAAAAGCTTCTCTTTGTTTTCTGGCTATGCCTTTTCCCTCTTTTAAAAAACTTATTTTTAAATCGACTTTATTGAGGTACAATTTACATACTGTAAAAGGGACCCACCCACTTTAGGAGTTTTGACAAATGTAAATGCCGTGTGACCACTACCACAATCAAGATGTAAAAACATTCCCATCATCCCCCCAAACTCCCTAGTGCTCCTTTGCAGTCAACCTCCACCTCCATCGCAGGAGCCAGAAAACTATTGATTAGTCTCGCCTGATCTCAACCTTCACACAAACGGAATCCTACTGCATGGTCTCTTTTGTACCTGGCTTCTTTAGCTCAGCATAACGTCTGTGAGATTCACCTACATTATTGCATGCTGCAGTCGTTTGTCCCTTTTCATTGGAGTAGTATTTCATTGTCTAGACAGACCACGATTTATCAGTGAACATGTAGAGTAACATTTGAGTTCTTTCCTGTTTTTGACCAGCCCTATACTTTAATTTTACCAGAACTGCTAGCCTGCATGAGAGCTGGACGCATCATTTCTCCCCTCACAGGAAGGGAATCAGCCTGCCTATAGACCCACAGCCTCAGCAGCTGGGCACAGGCAGAGGTTTGCATTTTTTCAACCTCTTGCGCCTTCTCTCTCCTTCTCGTTCACTCTGCGCCAGCCCCACTCACCAACAGCTCTTTCTTTAGATAGTATGGAAACTGACCCCTCACCTATGATATGAACTGCAGATATTTCTCCCATTTTATCATCTGCCTTTTGATCTCACTTGGAATGCTTTTTCTGGTAAGAACTTTAACCTCTTTGGGCCTCTGTTCCTTCATTTGTAAAATAGGAGGGCTGGGCTAGAGTAACTCTAAATTCCCTGCCAGCTCTGAGTCTGTGATCAGTAACCCAGTAAGTAAGAAGCAATTCCGTCCCTCTAAGCATTCCCGACTACTGCCCAGCAGTGACACACCTCCCATAGCACCCAGGTGTCAGCATGGCCGGCTTTGGGACTATTTTCAAGAGGGCTTAGGTTTTCATTTCTGGAGCCAACCTTTTGATCTCTCCAAACTCAGCTTGTACCCCTCCCTCTCCACGTTGGTTATGCTCAGGTCATTCTGGCTTCTTTCTTGAACATTCCAATCTCTTTCCCACCTCAGGGCCTTTGGCACTTGCTTGCCCCAATTCCTAAAATGCTCTTTCTCTAGGTCTTCTCGGGATTGGTTTCTCTTGTTTTCCAGTCTCAGCCTGAAGGTCACCTCCCCAGAGTGGCCCCCTGACTAGCCACCTAAGTGTTCCTCCTACCCCAGTCATCGTCCTCTGCCTGTCACCCTGCTTTATGTCTGCCCTGTTCTAGTCTCTGACAGATGGCATGTGTTATTTGTCCACTTGTTCCGTACCCTGTGATTAGAATACAAGATCCAACAAGAGGGCAGCTGGGACTTGCCATTTTGTTCAGTGGTAAGCCTCTGAACCCAGCACAGTGCCTGGAGCCCATGTGGAGGCAGAAAGTTACGAGCCCCCTAACGTTTCCATGCAGACATAGGTGGTTCAGCGGTAGAACTCCTGCCTTCGATGCAGGAGACCCGGGTTAGATTCCGGGCCAGTGCACCTCATGTGCAGCCACCACCTGTCCGTGTGGGCTTGCATGTTGCTATGACGCCAAACAGGTTTCAGCAGACTTCCAAACTTAAGGCAAATAGGAAGAAAGGCCTGGAAATCTATTTCTGAAAATCAGCCAACGAAAACCCTACGATCACAGTGGTCTGATCCACAACTGACCATGGGGATGGTGCAGGACCAGGCAGTGTTCCGTTCCACTGCGCATGGGGTCACCATGAATTGGGAGCCGACTCAACCACACCCAGCAACCACATCGCCATACAAAACTATAAACCCCATTCTTGTCCTTGCTGCATCTAATTTCTAGAAAGTACACCACTATCCCTGTGTTCCAGGTGGGCTAATAAATCTTGGCAGGAACCAGGGACTCTGAGCCTTTTAATGAACAGAGAGAAAAAAGAGTCTCCGAGGCAGAAGTTTATATACTCGTTGGCTTTGTCTTCACACAGTGGAGCCATTTAGAATCTTCTGCGATAACCCTGAAGGCGCAGGGGTTCTTTAAGACATCAGATTAAAAATAAGTCCAAATTCATGTCAGAAACCCACTTGTCAGGTTTAGATCCAGCTGTATATATGTATGTCAGGTTTATATCTGGCTGTACAACCCCTGTTCTTTTTCTGTAATCATAAAAATGTCTTACCCTGGTATTTGTAGAAAATTCTTGGAGCACCCACTTTCCAAAGACCTACTTCCTTTCCTGGGGCCTCCAGCCTTGGGTCCCCAAGGGATGCTAATGCGCTGTTCCGTGAAGCTACATTCTGTCTCAGGCTGCCCCCGCCAGCGACATACCAATTTCTTTCTCTTCTTTATATCCTGTCCTGTGTGCTTTTTCACCCCTTCAACCAAAGCATTATCTTAAAATCCTTTGACTCTGAGATGATTACTGGAGTCTCTGGGTGGTGAAAACAGTTAAGCACTCAACTACTAGCTGAATGGTTGGCGGTTTGAACTCACCCAGAGGCGCATCAGAAGAAAGGTCTGGTGATCCGCTTCCGAAAGGTCACAACTTTGAAAACCCCATGGACCAGTTCTATTCTGCACACGTGGGGTTGCCATGAGTAAGAATCAGTGGCAACTGACAACAACAAGATAATTATGATTATTTGTTTTTCATGAAGTGTTAGACTATAGTGATACTAAGCAGAATCAGTGGTTGCTTGGGGCGGGGGGGCAGGAAAGGGGGTGAAGCACAAAGGGGCACGAGGAAAGTTTGTAGGATGAGGGAGCTGTTCTGTATTTTGTTATGGTGATGACTACATGAACATATACACGTACCAAAATTCATCAAACCGTACCCTTAAAACCAGTGAAGTTTATCATACGTAAGTTATATCTTAATAAAACAAAAAAGAGCAAAAAGCTTAAGTGGTAGAAAATCGTGTTTCTAGACAAAGTAGGCACTTAAATGAATCAAAGAATAATCATGACCACACTGAATATATGGCTTAATAATAGTATTGGATAGGCCTAGTTTGTCTCACGGTATGTGTAATATTTCCAAATATCTTTAGATTCAGGAAAGAACAAGGCTGAGCTCACCAAGATCTCTCGACTCAGTTCTTCTCTCCTGCTTTCAGTCAGAGCAGTACTCCAAAGAATCCCAGGTACATGACAATCTAGTCTATTATTAGTCATAGCCAAAGAAAATTCATCATCTCTTTTAGAAATTCATCCTCTTTGGTTTTTTTTTTTTTAGACCTTTGAAATCATGTATTATGCAACAAACCTTTTCTGAGTTCGTAATATGTTCCAGGCACCATAAACCCAAAAACCAAACTTGCTGCTGTGGAGTCGATTCCAACTCATAGCGACCCTACAGAACAGAGTAGAACTGCCCCATAGGGTTTCCAAGGAGCGGCTGGTGGATTTGAACTGCAGACCTTTTAGCTAGCAGCTGTAGTAGC